AGGAAAAAATTAAAATGATCACTCATTCTCTAAAATAATCTGATATTGTACACACACAAGGTGTTGAAAAGTCCTCAACCTAAAAAGCCTTTAAAGTTTCAGGCCCAGAACTTTTCAATATATACTTATTAGAGGGTGATTGAAAACAATCAAATCAACCAATTGTTGAGTCTATTAAGATTATTAATTACATACATATTTTATAAAATGATTTTGCCACATAAATAGCAACAAAAATTAATAGTAACATATTTTTTTTAACCAAATATTCTTTTCAAATGTTTTATTTCAATTTTCTCTAAAAGCAATAATGATGTGGCCTTTTATTCCAAACTTATATTTAATTAATTCTAATTATTGCTAAGTTCATCTCACCAATGCTTGTTATTTTGTTTTTAAAAATGTTGACATACATTTCCACAAAAAATGAATTACATCTCAGTAACAGATAACACAAAATATACACAAGACATTAAGTAATCTTAACACAATTTAACAAACAAGAAATCTAGCTTGAAAAATATTCAGTAAAAAAAAAAAAAAATTAAGCAGAATAAACCCAGTTTTAGTTTAAGTTAAAATAAGAGCATTATTTTTTAAATTTAGAATATAAACAAGTAGCCATTTTTTTAGAATAAATACATTCTTTAAATAAGTAAACCACAGCATTTACTACTAAATGATGTTAGTAAAACAAATTTAAAAGGAAAAAAGCAAAATACTGCTATGAAAATTCTAATTTGTTCATTTTCCATGTCTCATGCCTTCTGCAACTTTAAAATAGACAATACCTTCAGATTTGTTAATAAATAATTTAGGATAACTACAAATTTTACATTTAAAAAAAAAAAAAATCAATTGTTAATTAAACTGTTAATATTTATCCAGCATAATTCTAATTTTTTAATGAAGGGAAATTTTTTTTTTTTTTTTTTTAAGTCAGCTGAGCAGTGACTGAGTAATCCGAGATTCTAAGTTAGGGTGTGGTCACCCCCCCAACCCCAAATCCACATACTTCAGCAAGTAGTAGCAGATCTAATGCATTTGCTTAAAGAGGAAAAATATGAATCAACATCATTTATCAAACCACTTCTTAGCTAACACTTTAAAAGTAATAAGTAAATAAAATACATTAGCAATCAAGCATTTCTTGGAAGAAATGTCTTAAATTTAATTAAATTGAACATAATTAGTAAATTAGAAATTCTTAAGATTGTCAGTTATCAAAACTGCAGAATTGAAAAAGGCAAAAAGGATGCTGCTGATTTTAGGTAAGGGGGGGGGGTGAAACCAGCCTAAGAATAACAACTTCCAACATTCCACAGAGACTGAAAATGAGATGTTAAGACCCAAGTGATCCAAGAAAAATGTGATATATTTATTTTCACGCACTACATTAGTGCAAGCTTATTGAAAAGGTCTGAAATTGTTAGAAAAACAAATTAAAAAGAGAATTTATCAAAAAAGAGGGTAATAAAAAATTTGCCCATATTTCATATTTCAATCATGCTGAACACGATTAGGTACTTAGAAAGATTGCAAAAAAAAAAAAAAAAAAAAAAAAAAAATGTAAATAAAATTAACTTGATCGATTAACTTTTTGATACAACGAGAGAACCATTTAAGGAAGTTTTTTTTTTTTTTTTAGAGCAGAGGAAAGCCTCTTTCATCTCAGCACCAGATGAGAAAAATGCAGAAAGGATGAAGTAATTATTAATACCGTGAATGAATAAGTTGATGATAGCGATGTCCAACGAAAACGAAAAAAAAATCAAGGTTGTTCGCGGCTGCCACAAGATTAAGGCTTTCTTTTTTTTTCTTATCAGAAAACTTGGGGGATGATTGAAGTAGAGAGAGAAAGCGACCAGCCAGCACGATGGTTACCAACACAATTCGTTGTTCTTTGAGAGTGGCAGCAAATGAACGACTCAAGTAGTAAGGGTGGAGCACATATTTATCACAACCTAGGAGGAGCCTAATAACACTGTAGACCAGTCAAGAAATACTACCACTATCACTACAAGGAGTATTTCATGCTAAGCTAATAATATTAGTCACTTATGTTACACACACAAATGGGAATTGGGAGAGCATAAGGACTACAACAAAATCTACTTTTTTTTACTGTACCATACCAATTAGAAACGGGAGATGGAAAAAAAAAGGACTGATGAAGTTTTTTTTTTTTTAAATATGTATACGACTTTTTTTTCTTTTAAGTACAAAAACAAAGTATGCCCATGAAAGAAAATTGTGATAATCATCACTAAATTAGAGTAGACAGTTTCGAGAAAATTGAATTGACTGACTAAATCAAGAAATATTTTTATTGTACTAAGTCTAAAAATAATAAAAATAAAAGAAATAAGTAGACTACAGCTGTTGGATAATCAGTCTTTACTTTGTCAAACGTAAGAAAAAAAAAGCAGTTGAAGTATAGGATGTACTACTTAGTTCTTGCGCATTCAACACGGATTTTACAAGTAAAAAAGACTAGAGTAATCGACAGAGAACAACCTTGTCTCTAATTTATTTAGATTCATTTTAGAAATCAAAAGCAAAGACAATAAAGAAAAAAAACTTTACTGACAATTATTAGCACTGAGTAGGGTTCAAAACTTTAAAAAAAAAAAGAATAAAATAAAGGAGAGAGAGAGAAAAAAAAAAAACAGGTGCTGTCCTGAAGACAGCAGTTGCAGAGTTTGAGAATCATGATGACAATGTAGTAAAGATTATTATTCGCTTTTAATGTCCAAAAAGATGAAAGCCGCAATGTGACAACAACAGAATAGAAAGAAAAGAAAACATCAACAACATATTTTCTTTAATACAACAGTTGGCATTTCTGAAGGAAAAAACGATCTGGGAGGGACCACTTGATGGTGGTCGTAAAGCGAGGTAATATTGTTGTTAATGTTACAGTTGGTAGCAAGCAGCAGTGTTACAAAACAGATTCAGCTGTTCTAAGTCTACTAAGTAATAGTAGTACTACGACTACTAATAATAATACCATTATTATTATTATTATTTCTTCTGCTTTTGTCATGATGATGACTATTCACGTCAGCCAGGCTTTTCTACCCGCGAACACACACATTATCAATCGACTGACTCACCTCAAAGTTATGTCGACAACAAAAACGGAACAAAAAATTATATCCGATCAGGAATTTTCAAGTAATCAAATCAGCAAACAAATTTATTTATTAGAAATTTTAGAAATAAAATAGTTTTATCGTTTTTAGTTAAAATGCAAAAGATTTTATTAAAAAAAAAAAAAAAAAAAAAAAAAACTGAATTTGTTCAAAAATAAAAAAAATTGTGTGAATGTCAAATAAAAAAAAAAAATCTCACATTCAATATTTTTGATATTGCGATCACTTTTTAAAACAAAAGAAAATTCATTTGTTAGCGACTAACAATTATTACTTTTTTAGTTTTTCAGTTTATTTTTTTACATTATAACAAAAATATTAATTTATAATTTTTTATGCAATAAAAATAAAATTTTTAAAAGTTCCTTTAATTGACTTCTGGTTATGTAATTAAAAGAAAATTACTAAAAAATAATTTTAATTAATCATACTAATTAAATTTAGTTTTTACTAATCGAAATGGGAATCATTAAAAAAAGATCACTTCTTTAACTTTACGATTCTTATCATTCAGTTGGCATTCATATTGATTAAAGATTGATTCATCAATCAAAAAAAACTCCACATAAATTAATTTTTTCTCCAGTTCGAACGGAATTCGATACAATTTGTGATGAGCAACATTAATTTATTTTCGCAAAAAAATTAAAATACATAGACAAAAAAAAACAAAATATAGAATGCAGTGCTGGAAAAAAAAGGCACAGAAAATATAATTATTCTATTAAATTAATAATTAAAGATTTTAACTTAAAATGGATATTTTTACTTTTTTTTTTTTTTAGGAATTTTGCAAATATTGATTTTTTTTAAGAGATCAATAGAATTTTATGAATTGAATATCTCTGAAAAAGGTCATTTTTTTTCTTTTTAGTTAAATTAAAAATATGCAAAGCTGGAAAACTTTCGGCTTAAGTTCTTAACTGAGGACATTAAAAAAAAAAAAAAAAACTTGATGTGTGGTCATTTTGTTGGACCAAAAAGAACTTTTGATCATCTTCTCGTCGTACAAACAAACGATGGTTTAAAAAAAAAAAAAAAAAAAAAAAAAGCTGGAAAAATAAAATGGTGAGGATTCTTGTTTTGCATGTGAAAATGAGGACAAACGGCTTTTCGTCTTATAAATTCAGCCAACCTGAATTAATCTACAGATAGGAAAAAAATATTTTAATAAATAAATAAATACATCAGACTCACAATAAATATCGTTATATTATTATTGATGGTTCTGATTAAAAATTACGAATGACTCATCGCTGTATTTGCAAAGTTAGAGACTGTATTATTAAGGTTAACGATTTTTTAAAGTGCAAATTCAACTAGTGTTGTCGGAGTGTTGCAATGCAGAAGACAAGAATTTTGCTACAATATGCATTTAATAAATAGATCTATAATAAAACAATGAATCAAAACCAGTAATGTAAAAAACATTTATTTAAAGATATCGACATAAAAAATACATTTTTTTTATCGTTTCGTGCAAAGATCAGAATCAGACATACATAACTTTACTACTGACAACTGCACTGCACACAAAAATGCATTCATCTAATTACAAATTTTAGAGTTTTGATAGTTGAACAAGTGCAAATAATATTTTGGGATACAAATATTACGACAAGATAGAAAAATAAGTAAATATTTATTCCTGTTGATTTTTAGGTTGTAGCGTAACAAGTCGAAAGGGATCCACCCATAACAATTCTTCTTCTTACATTCTCTACATACCAAAAACCAGGCCACCTGGCCGATCTCAGTTTTCTTACGTATCAAATCCTCCATAAAAAAAATATCACATATTTACACTTAGAATATTGCAAAAATATATATATATTTTTTTTTTACCTCGTTGACTGGAAGCAGACAAAACTCCACTTTTTTTGCTGAAGACCCGAGGCGAGCTTAAAACACCGGTGATATGGCGTCTGCTGTAAAGTAAAAGTATGCCACCCCCCGGGTATGATGATTGCTAACTTGAAATTCTGAGGGCTATCGGCTGGATAAATTTACAGACCAAGGAAGGTAGAATTTTTAGATGTAACCTCTTCATTGTCCTCGACCAAAACTGATGCAGTTACTAAAATTTATTCGATAATTCATAACGATTTTTACAATACTTACCGGTAGGGCGGGCGAGATGAATAGAACAGCTACTGGGTCACGTGCCTCATTAATAGTAATAAGGTCGTGCTCGTACTAAGGCTTTTTAGCTGAGTGAAACAGGCTAGAGGAGGATCAAGGATTTAAAAGTATATATGCATTCTGAATTTGTTTATCGAAAGGATAAAAAGCAAAGTTTACACATGCATTTGCAATAAAAGATGGCAAAAGCATTTGGTCATAGCGTTATTATTGGAGATAGTCAAACAAAATGAGACGATTTTATTAATGAATAATGACAGATTAACACAGGGTATTTGTCAGATCATTCATAGATTGCATAGTTTCATTCATATCACAGACTAATAATTTATTAGTGTAGCTAGTCTAGTTCAATGTTCACAGTGTCCCCACAACTGATCATGTGTCAGAGCAGACTAAGGTAAGTAAGTAAATTGATATAAACATAGAACAAAAGAAATCGAGCAAACCTACTCTATCATAAACTTTTAAAAAGAACTACAAATATTTAAGCTATAACCATAAAAAAAATAAACAACCCAGCCTCAGTAAAATATAATTCAATTTAACAACAAACATATTAAATATATTTCACAACTGAAAAAAAAGACATCACAGGCTGATATATGAAGATGTGATAGTAAAAAAAAAAATCATCATGACACCTACTGACCACCAAAGATTCATATAAACATGCTTCTATTAACCCACAAAAATTATTTGATAAGCTGAGAAGAATCTGGACAATTTATGTGGAAAACCCTCCCAGGAAACTAATTATTCAATCTCTGGTTAGCGGGGGTAGATTGTTTTCATTTCACTTTCTATGCTTAGGTGATACTAAAATTCATTAGACTTATTCACCTTTGTGACACTTGTAGATCAGAGTTTGTGACTTTTCAGCTCTACTACACACATGGATTGAAACTTACAACTGCCAAAAACTGCCAAACAATATTTAAATCCACTAGAGCTGACAAGTACAATAGCTAAAATGTTGTGACTATAACAGTTTGAGTTAAGATAAGAATGCAAATCTGAATAGATTAATCATAATTTACACTAAAGAATTTTTACATCTTCCCATTAATGTTGAAACTTACCCCAAAACACATCAGAGATTACATTAAATATATAGCCAAACCACCCACTGAAAAAAAAAAAAAACGTTATATTATTGAAATTTCTTAAATGAAGCATTGTAAATTATTACTTTTTAATAAGTATTTATTTCATCTTATTTCTCTTGTTTTTACATCTTTCATTTTATACCAAGTAGTAATAGTTGTCTGAATCTCTTGGATGAAGTGTTGTCAATTATCTTTTTATTTTCATCTCATTTCACTTGCATTTTATTGAAATTCCACAATTTTTAGTAAGAAGTATAAATTAGAATTAAAGAATATACCATCAAAAATACACAAACTCATGTCACTTATTCTTAGGAAGCCTGCTTTTCCAGGCCATCTGTCTTATGAATAAAACTAAAAAGGTCAACCTTGTAGTGGCCCCACTAGAGAGGGCATGATACAACATGGCATGTGCGCCCAAATAAGGAGTAGATGAAACAAGAGGCCTGCTAATATTTCAAAAAGAAAAGATGTGTATCTGACAAGTCAACAAGATGACAACAAATGACAAACTTAAAATTAATACAAAATTTATTTACATAATATACAGAGGTATATGTTTGGATTAAAGGAACATGAACAAACAATGAATCAAGTAATGGAGGCAGAAGTAAGTAAATGAGGAATACTGACTGGCTAGAAGATCTAGATAATATAACTGAGACTAAACATTAAAAGTAGAGACCATGTAAGTTAAGCTGGCATGTAAGTCCACAGTTCGAAAGTTTAGTTCACATGTCTGGTGAAAGCAACTAGCATCCATTTGGCAGAACAAAAATAAGTGTAACTCAATACATAACCTGTCCAAGCCCAGTATAAAAAGTATAAAAATGTTCACAAAGAGTATTCAGACTAAGTTCGTAATACTGAAACAACTAAAAAGACATTAGGTTTGTTATGAATCTAAATGAACTTGCTATATAAATTTGAAGGGAGTGGGGCAGTCAATAAAGAAAAGGTCAAGGTCATGAAGACTTATAAAGTCTACCCTTGATCATGTGGATGGAGTAGTGAAGGGCTATGATAACCTGTTACAGAACTTTAAAAAATATTGCAACATACTTTTCAACATACCAAATATAAAAAATTAGGTAAAGTTTAACATCTGTACCCACAAAAAATGGTGTCAAAATGATAGACTTTCTCTTAACATTGTTATTACTGTATACTCCCATAACAATTTTTATTGTTTTAAAAAGTTACTTCTAGAACATTTAATAAAGCCCAAACATATGAAAATGAATTTATGCTTTCTCTCTTTTTTTGAGAATTGACAAAAGTATTAAACACTATTCTTGGAAATAAATAGTGTTTAACATTTTTGTAATCAATTTCTTGAGAAAAATCATCTAAACCCAGTTGCTTGCAACCTTTTTTAGTGAATTTATGTGGCGAGAATTAATGAAAGAAATGTATGAAAAATTCATTTTTTATAATTACATTTGCTTATTGTTATGTGCTTATTTAAATTTTCTTGTTTTCTTGTTCAGAGGCATTTTTATAAATTTATAAATAAAAAAATTGTTTTTATAGTTATCTTTTTATAATAGGGTAAACAATAAATAATGCATTGTACTTGATTCACATATTTTTATAAACTTCTGAATATAAAATTATACTGGTAAAAGAACACTATAATAAAATAAATAGCATTTAATTTTTTTGTTGTCAATTCTCGAATAAAAGAGAATTCATACATGCAGTTTCATGTTTAAGTTTTATTAAAATTCTGAAAATAACTTTTTAAAACAATAAAATTTGTCAAGACAGTATGCAATAATAGCAGCATCATGAGAAAAACTGTCCTTTTTATGGGTACATATATTTATATATATATATATTTATATGGGTACATATATTTATACATATATATTTATATGGGTACATATATTTATATATATATATTTTTATGGGTACATATATTAAATTTTGCCAAAAATTAAGTCTCCCTTCTCTCTCTAGTAGTTTTTTTGTTGACTCTTGGCATAATAGATAAGTTTTTGAAGATCCCTAATTTAAAGAAGTATAAATCTATATATTTAAAATGCTTTGACTTGACTAAGGAATAAAGAAGCATAAAAGTTGACTGAAAATATTAAAACTTAGAACCAAAAAGATGAAGATATAATGACTAAACCTTGTCTCTTTCTTTCACTTCATAATTCAAGTTTCAGAATAAAAAAAAACTTCTTCATAACAAGAGAAAATATTTACATTGACTGGTTCATTGTATTAAATTTATAAAGAATTATAAACTGATAAATACAGATGAGTAAAACTCATGAGTAAAACAGAGATTTTGATTTTATAACTGGTGAGTATGTCATCATAACTGACCGGTTAAGTCTAGATGGGTTGCTATGCCAATGTAGAAACTGACCAGTGAGCCATTGATTTTTTTCAATGAGTCAATATTCATGAGAAAATATTGTTATTCGTTTTTACTTATATTTTGCTTGTCTTATATTTAGAAATTTAAATTTTATAGGATATATTTTTTCTGTAGATAAATTTTATTTTATTAATTAAACCATGTTTATAAGAAGAAAATTGATTTTTTTTCTACAATTCATTTATTAAAAGATTATATTACACTTCATTACAGTGTAATAGTTAATGAAATGAACATGTAGATCCTTAGTAGTGAGTTTGAGGTAGAGTGTTACTGAATGAGATTGTTATGACATAAAGAGAGGAAGTAAGAAGTGCATATGTAGTATAGATAATGGTTGACTCTAGAATTGAAGATCATAGTGATCGGGGAAGATTCATAAGTTTGATCCTCACTGGGTCCCCCATACTTGTAGCTTTATGCCAAATTTTCTTTTTCTATGTATGATGTCCCTTCAGGATGTGGATGATTATGGCTCTCCACAACTTCCTATCCTTTGTAGCTCTTAGCAATATTTGTCTATTTACTATCCCTCCTACTTCCTGTTCTGCCATCCATTTACACAAGCTCGTTAGGTAGGTTACTCGCTGTTTCTCCTCTGTTCCTCTTGCTTTCAATATGTCCTGTGAGTGTCAAATTTTCCAAGCCTTCTTTTCTTCATTATGTGTCCTATGGTATTTTCCATATTTCACAACTCTATTCTTATGAAATTTTAGACAATTTCAAATCTATTTTTTCTGATTTTTACTTTTTTTTAAATGCCATGTCCCTTCATGGTATATACAATCATGGCTCTCCACAGCTTCCTTTTCTTTAATATCTATAAACTGTCTATATTTCTGAGATGAGGTATTATGTACACTATTTACATTATTCAGACTATTATCCTCATCTTTGTCGCCATATTTATTACAACGTTTCAGCTGTTGTACGCTCCAGCCTTCTTCAGGTGGTTGGAATGTCGGTTAAGGCAGTGGAGAACTTTCAGAGGGGAATTAACAGGAGATAACTGATAACTGACATGCATTAAACATGGCACGTGGTCTATCTCAGTGAACGAAATAAAGGGTTCGATTCGACATTCCAACCATCTGAAGAAGGCCAGAGCATACAACGTCCGAAACGTTGTAATAAATATGGCAACAAAGATGAGAACAATAGTTCGAATAATGTAAATAGTATCTATAAACTGTGTACTTCTATAACTGGTATTTCCTTCTACATAGTGTTGAATTCAGAGCTTTACTCTATTATTTTTAAATGGATAATATGAACAACAGACTTCATTAAATGCAGGTGTTTTGGACAGAGGAACCAATTAATAAGAACATTTTAAGGAGAATAGAAACAACAAAGACACTGTTGCTAGAATTCAGAAAGAGAGAACTGAAATTTTATGGGACAATGAGGAAAGAAGGTTTGAAGAACTTAACACACACAGGATACATTGAAGATAAGAGAAGGAAGAGGGTGTAACTTACTTGACAAGTTTGAAGAGACACATAAATATAAAGAGCAAGAATTGTTGAAATTAACAAACGATAGGAAGCTGTAAAGAACCATGATGACCAATATCCTTAAGGAATATGGCATATAGAGAAGGTGTTTCAACTTGTTTAAAACTAATATGAGCCTGACTTGACTATAAAGTCAATCCACTATAAAACTATGTCCAGAATCTGACATGATAAAAAAAATCTTCCATTAAAAAGTTGTTTAGCTTTATATGACTATTATATAGGAGTCAATGTGCCATGAAATTACATTTATAATTCATAATTAGCTGAGTCAAAGGTTGATTAGATTGCATTTACAATTAATCTTTTTTTTTAATAAACTCATCCCAAGCAAGGCAATAATGCCCCTAAGATACAAGGGGCTACTGGGAATGAAATAAAATGAAAAGACTTTAGAAAGAACTGCAAGCCAAATACTAAATAGGAAACAAGGGACAAACCTCTACTCCTGTTCAAATGACTAGGCAGGAGGGTGAACCAGTCTATATAAATAATTTAACATTTTCTTTTCTTTTTCCTAACTTTTGTCAGACTAAAAGCAGATATATAAATGTAACATGGGAATCTTGTCCTACCTGGGGCTAAGTAGGCACATGATATGTCGACTACGCAAGCGCCCTGCTGCTTGAACAGCATAGCAAAATTTATTTTCTTTATTGTTTGTAATTATTTGAATGAGTTACCTGTATTTAAACAATTTCTTAGTAGAACAAAACTAAAGCACAGCATGTAGAAAGGGAGACATGTTGAAAATTATGACTGAAAAACATTCTTTCTTTTTTGATATCTCTCAGTTTTTTGTGCTTCAGTTATATTTACTTAAAAAAAAACATCTTTAAATATGAAAGACTAAATTTATTCAATAAATTAACCATTGGCTTCACCCACAGGCTCCAGACAACTTCGGAATCTCCTGCAAATTTTCTGAATGATTTCCTTGTTTAAATTTATTAATGCTGCCATAATCCCTGCCTTCAGTCCATCTTTGAAGTTTTGTTGGTCTCTCACTCAACTGCACCCCAAATATAATAATCAAGGGGGTTACGGTCTGGGGAGTTAAGTGGCCAGATGTAAGGGGTGATGTGGTTCCAGAAATTGTCTGACAGCCATCACTGGGCTCTCCTACTTGGGTGGCATGGTGCAGTTTGCTGCTGACAGATATAGGATCTTCCAGCATCTATCTCTTGAGCCAGGGTAGCACTACCTTCTCAAGGCACTTGATGTAGGCCTCTGTGTTTTCCTATGGGAAATTGAATGGAAGCATAATGTCACCATCATTAGTGATCACTCCAAACGCCATGATGTTGCCTGGATATTTGGTTTTCATCACTCTCAGTACATCTTTTGGGGACACAGCATCCTCTGCACTGTCCTCAGATTGATACCCAAACACTCTGAAATGTTCATAATGCAGCTTCTGGCACAAATGCCAAGCAGTACAGCATACCATTTCCAAATTTCTGGCGGAGTGAATTGCGTCATGGTGGTCTTTTTCTCACAGACAATATTCAACTGATCCTACTATACTGTGCAGTTGACAAAATGAAAATCAAACAAAATGGGAAAAATATGCAAAATGGGAAAAATATGCAAAATGGGAAATATATAGTGGCGACAATTTACCCATCGCACCCAGTATATATAAAACGTTACATATTCATATATCATTTTCACAGAGCATGCAGATCCTAGGTCAGGGCTGAAAATGACACTTTAGGTGCACAAATACTATACTGCAGTGACAGAGTGGGTCTAAAAATATTGGTTGCCAGGAGACAAAGGGGGCCCACCCACAACTACAATGCTATCATTTAATTTTCATAATGAATAAATAAGATTTTGAAAAAATGCTTATTGAAAAAAGGTGAAATTCAAATTCTTATGAACAAAATGTGTATTTCTTAGTAATTACAGTGTATATGTCCTGTACATATTAATGGCAGTAGATGCCAAATGTCAATACAAAATTTTATAAATTTTTATTTATTTTTTAATTTTAAGTAATTGGTTGATATTTTAAATAGTTTACTGCAGAATTTACACATGAAAAGAAAGTTCAAAAGCACAATAGAGCATTGCATGCAGTCCACTATATTAAGAGAAATCGTTTTTGTGTTCACTAGACAATTGTTTGAATCTGCCAATAATTGATTCTGCAACCAATTTATCTAACAGTTCCTTTTCAATAATAACATGTATGATTCCAAATTCTCCTCAGACGACAAGCTTCTTAACCTTGTCTTTATGATCATTAGCTTTGAAAATATCTTCTCACATTATACTTGAGTAACTCATAGTATGCATATGACTTTATAAAGTTCTTATATCTTTTTATTACTAAATGTTTGTTTGTTTATTGCATTTTTATTTGATATACGGGGCTCACTCCATCAGGAGCCTACTTGTCATCAGGCAAGGTGATACTATCTCCAGTCTGCCATTGTTATGTTAATCCTAGGAAGAGGACTGGAAAGAGTGGCACTTTGATCCTAAACAGAGGTCACGGATACTACACTGACCCTAAACAGAAGGCACAGATACTACACTGATCGTAAGCAGAGTGCACAGATACTAACTACAATGATTCTAAGCAGAAGTGCCAGTCAATATATAAAGAAAGCCAAAAGGTTGTCTGCATATGCTAAGTTCAAATTCAATTAATATAAAAATACAACTACCATATTTAACGGCTTAAAAGACACACTTTTTTTTTCCTGAAAAATACGTGTGCATCTTCCAAGATGAATGTAAGGCAACATCCAGGCTCAAGTAAGCTTGGACAGTCATCTAATTGGCTAGGGATGTGGATTTGTATACTGAGTCATTACACTATAATGTTAGCTGTCTATCTAATTCTGCCTTTTATAGTCTCAGTACTTAGCTGTTACAAGTATTTCCAAGACTAAAAACCATCCTGAAGCTGAGCCACAAGCTTAAACATGCTGTTTACAAGCAACAGCAGGAGCCTTTCTGCTCTTGACTAATATGTCATTTCCATACAAACAAAATCAGACAAGTGATTAATGTAAACAATACATGGTACCAGTACGTGAGGGACGCATGGTGAATGTGTTGTTGTATGAGAATTACTTTTTTTTTCTTAGAAATTTATTTCTAATATTAGCATCCTGTTTTCAAATTTCTTATAAAGTGAATTGCATCATGGTG